GGGGTTTAAGTGGAGAGCAAATGTTTTGAGAATGACGAGGGCAATGAATGTACAAATGTGCTTTACACAATTGATGTGTGTATGGATAGTGAGAAGAGCTCTAAGAGCCCCCAATAAAAGAGGGGACAAAAGGAATGAAAGAAAGAAAGAAGTAAATGGTAGAAGTACTCCAGAAGTGTCACTGAGTGCCAGAGATCAATTTCATGTAAACAGCCACATATTTCACCATCACCGACACACAGAAGTCTTGCATGAAAAGAAGGGCAAAAGTGTTTGAAGTTCTTTCAAATAGATTTCTGCTTGAACAATGTAGACACACCTACTGAGAATGCACAAAAACATCCAAGAAATCCTAGTGCAGGCTGATGACTTAAACATAAACCTCTATGGAGGAGAGGCATGACAACTTCAACCTCTCAGAACTGTTTATAGATACAGATACAGAAAAGACAATTCTGATTCCATAATAGGAAATTAAACATAATGTGCATTTATTTTTTAATGTAATGTGCATTTCTTGATATGGAAATTGCTTTATGCATATTCCTAGCCTTCATGATCACAAACTGTACAATAGAATTCTCATTTTTATCCCTAGAGAGATTCAGAAACCCTCAGGGCACAACAGTTAGTCCAGAAAGATTCACTATTCTTATTCGGTATGGAAGTAGGTACTTGAGCAGCTTAAATGTGATCAAATCATTGGAGAATTTTTAAATGCAAAGACTAGAAAGAAATGTTTTTATTGTAACATGTTAGAAATGAAAGATCTATCTAAAAATATAGTAACGTGATGTAATATTTATTTTCTAAACATTAACTTTTATGACATCTTTTCAGTTCTGTTATCACTTAAAGTAAAATTGGCAAAAGTCAACTTTGCCTTGAGATAAATCAACAGAATTTTACATTGAAACAATGAAATTCACTTACTCATTGTTTTTGTCATAGATTATGTGAAGCATTCTTCTTGTAGAAAATATGGGCTATATAATGAAAAATCCTAGGACCACGCATCCACTAAATATTTTATTTATTTACTTATTTTTAACAGTTTTAGTGGCATGTCATCCACATGTCATGCAATTCAATAGTTCAATCATATCACGAAGAGTTGTAAAATTATCACCACAACCAAGTCTAGAACATTTTCTTCTTCCTTGTACTCATTGTTATTCATTTACCTTTTAAAAATTGTGGCAAAAGTATGCACAACAAAACATCCTGGAATTCAACAACTTCTATCAGTACCTGAGTTAGTTAATTGTGCCAGCCTGGCTGATAATCACATGTGGGGCTAATTGAAAGGCTGAGGGATAAATGGGTGGTGAAGCCTCACCTTTCTAGTTCTCGGGTCTCTTGTTTTGTGATGGTTGCACCGGGTGCAGCTGCCTTAGCAGTTCCCTGCTTCAGCTTACAAAATTGACTTCCTACAAGACATCCCCAAGGAGAAGCCACATGGACCTATCCCGATGCAGCCCTGGGTGCTGGAGCAGCCGTGTGGAGACCCCTGCTAGTGCTGAGATGCTTGTTCATTCACTGACTCAGCTTTCCTCCTGCAGTCGGCATCATTGCCTCTGTTTTGTGAGGTGGAGGACTTTGTGGACTGGTGTTGGGTTAATGGGTTAATGTTGGACTTGTGGGCTTGGGCAGCATTGGGTTGGGATGTTTTCATGATGCACATTTTCTTTACTTAAAACTCTCTCTTATACATGAGTTGCTGTGGATTTGTTTCTCCAAAGTAGACAGACAACACAGTACCATTGATTATA